GAGAGAGAGAGAGAGAGAGAGACTGAATGGCAAAATTGAAATATGGGTCAAATTGCGGCCGCAATCTATTTTGCAGTTGGAATGATTGTTTTAAATTTATTTAGCGTTTTTCCTGGAAAGATCACAACAAAATCTACGAGTACTCCAATTTTCAGGTTTTTTCACGCATTCTTCTGAGCATGAAAGCTCACTGAATTTGGAGTACTTTTTTAGTTGGCCCAGGCATGGCTGAGTTGGCCCATGCATGGCTGAGTGGCAAAAATGGAAAATGTGCCGAATCGGCGCGACGATTATTTCGCAATGTAAATGATTTTCTGTAAATGTTCTATTATTATTTTTGGAAAAAACACTACCTCATCTATGGATTCTCAAAGTTTCATATTTTTGTGCATGTTCGTCCGAGCACAGAAAATCGCCAAAGTTGCCTCTTGCAAAACACCTATTTCGTTGTGCCTGACCTCCCTGTTCTGAGAAGACGGGGCTCAATGCCTGGGCCTGAGGGCCCTTTTGCAGTTCACATGCCAACACTTCTTTTTGGGGTCCATTCTACCAGAGGACCGGTCCAACGCCCCCCACTTCTTTTTGGGGTCCACTTCCACCCGAGGACCGGTCCTTCCTTTTTTCAAAAGTCCCGGTTCTAGAAGAGCTAGATGTAGGTAGTCCGCAATTTTGCCAATGACCGGTCCCCAAAAAATATTTGTCCCCTAAGAACCCACTTTGTGTCCTAGTCGCTCGCCACCGAAAATGTGACACCTTGACACAGACGCGGAAGCACACTATACCGCAGCCTTAGGGCTGCGAACAAGACTTCTCTTTTTTTTTAGCTCGGACGACAGTGGCCTTCCACTCCGATGTTGCAAAGGGGGGGGGGGAGTGGACGAACACGAGTCTGGGTTTCTTTTTTTTTCCTTTTTTTTTCTTGAGGAATTTCTTGCAAATCTGGTTTTGTTTTTCTTTTTCCCTGTTAGTCTGTTTTCGGTTGGGATGACCAAGGCTCCGTGTGGTGTACAAGGGTTGTGAATGGCTGGGTACCATAGGCGTTGGTTTTGAACCATCATTCTTTATCGGAACGCGTGGATTGTAGGAACCAGACCTGTCCTTTTCAAGAAAATGCCATGATGATTGGAGTGTGGCAGTGGTCCGAGACTTGAGCCTCTTCTCTGAATCCGGATTCAATTTTGGACCAGATTCACAATTGAGTGCTGCAAAAAAACTTGGAGCAGTCATAGGACATCACCCATCCTTCAGCCATGCACAACTCTCTCTCTCTCTCTCTCTCTCTCTCTCTCTCTCTCTCTCTCTCTCTCTCTCTCTCTCTCTCTCTCCACACGCCTGCAAGCGCGCCGATGGGTTTCTCCCACAACATTTTTTGATCCCTTGCCATTTTTCATTTTTAAAATTCATTAAAAAAAAAGAAAGAAAACAAACTGTATTGGGGGGTAGTTGATTACCACCTCCAAGTCCCCAGGGGGTCAAACCCCCTCCATACGGTCGCGTCTGTGTTTCTCGGATTGATATAAAAGTTGAATGTATCACACGAGGTGTAGACAACTTGTAAAAAAAAAAAAACAAGGATAAGAAGGGTTATGAAACCAAGTAAAGAGGCATTTGTCCCCTTTGGTTGTGCACCCCAAGAACAACGAAAGGAAAGCGAAAAAACTCAATCGCTTTAAGTTGCATTCCCCACGCCCCGGGTTCACAAGTTCACAGCCATGAAGGATACACTGCACACAACAGGCATATTGTTTCAACATTGGGTCTATCGGTCCTCCGTTATACTGAAGCAGAAGTGCAATGGGTGGTTTGGAGAGGGGTTGGGTGTGATTGTTGGGTGGACCAGTCAAAGTGCATCATAGTTTTTTTTTTTTTTTTTTGGAATCGTGGAACTTTAGGCAACCGCTCCCTATAAAAAAAACAGAACTATGCAAGGCATTGAGGCCAAGGCGCGCACATTTTTTTACGTATGGCAGTGAGGCCCAGACCCTTGAAAAAAGAGTGTATCTACTCGAACGATTTCTCGTGCATATAAATTTTCACAAGAAAATCTGAAAAAAATCTAGGTTATAAATTAAGTAATGATGTTTGCGACAAAAATAAAAGAAATATGCTATGTTGTCGCGTGTACATGTACGAGGCCTTTCCGTACATAACATACATATATTTTATGTATGTAATCCTGTAGTACGTATTCATGTACGTTATATACGTAAAATGTACAGAAGGGGGGGGGGAAACAAGACCAACACGCGATGTTTACCTAAGCATCAACCCCAATTTCTTATAAAAAAAAACGAGAAAAAAATCGAAACAGAAAAATGGTAATTAAAAAAAAAAAAAGTGCAACAACAATATGCGTATATGTGTGTTTGTGTGTGTGTGTGTGATCGAAAGAAACTCGCACAAACCATCACACACGCACACATTGACATACATAACACATACAAAACACAAACGTACCCATATATTTTTGTGTTTTTCTTTTCTTTAATTATCCAGGAGCTATATCCAATCGATAAACAGATTGGATATAGCCGTTAAAAAATAATGAGTACGATTTTTCTAAGCCATATATCGTGTATACATAAATTGGTTTTGGAACTTCGTTTTTTTTCCGTTGATTTCAGGTATATAGGGTGCATGGATACTAACCAACACCCCAACAAAAAAAATAAAAATAAAAAATGTATGCGTCCCCTCCCGTACAGGTAGCATATACGTACGACTTCGTACGACCATACGTGTACGCGGAATCGTACGAATCGCTACGTAGGACGCATGAAAATCAAATTCGTTAATCTCGAAATAAATATTGGCTGCAAAAGAATGTAATATTGTCTCCTTACTATTACAAGTACGTTCAAATTGTTTTCATTGAGTGGGCTAGGCTCATAAAAAAAAGATTGTGATCATTATAAAAGCGTCGGAGCCTGATCTAGTAAACGAAAACAATATGGACGAACTAGTAACAACAAGGAGCAAAGATTGGTACTCGATTTATTCCCCTTATTTTTTCCATATTTTTTGTAAAATATTTTATGCACGAAAAATCGTTGGAGTTGGCATACTCTCTTTTCAAGGGTCCAGGTTAAAACCACAGGTCCCCCTGACGTCAAAAACCTCGGGGTACCGGTAGCGCCGTTTCACGACGGGTACCGGTCGTACAGCGTGGAAAACCGGGCGGGCCTCCGTACTAAATTTGCGAAAAAAATGGAAATAAACCGAATCGGCGTGGCGAATATTTCACCGTCAAAATGATTTATTTTTTTTTCTGATATTGTTCCCTGAAAGATCACGACCTAATCTACGGACCCTCAAATTTTCAGATATTTTCATGACTTTTTCTAAGCACAAAAAATCGGCAAAGTTGCCGCTTGCAAAATGGCGGGATTGGACCCGTCGGCCTCCGTACAACAAGGCGCCTCCGTACGG